CTAATGCAATAACTACTACTACTACTACTACTACTACTACTACTGCTACTACTACTACTACGACTACTACTACTACTACTACTACTACTGCAATGTTTGCCACTCTTACGAGTGCTACTACTACTACTACTACTACTGCTACTACTACTACTACTACTACTACTACGACTACGACTACGACTACCATTTTTACACCTACAACTGCGACTGGTACTCCGACAATTCCGACCACCATCATTATACCTAGTACTGCCACGTCTTCTGTTACGACCGCTACGATTACTACTGCTACGATTGTTAAAGCTGCGACCGCCAGCCGTATTCTGATCATTTTGAGTCCGAGTGCTACGACTTCTATGTTTCCGGAGATCCTACTACCAAGAGCGTTGGTGTTGCTACGGCTACTACGGTTATGATTGCTATTGCGAGCGCGACTGCGACTATTTTCGTTATGATTGATCAGACTACGACTGCGTATTCCACCTGTACCTTTTTGTGGTTACGGGTACTGCCACTATAAAGACTACTACGTATACGATTACCCATACTTCCGTTAGGACTACTACCACGACTACACTTGCGATTGCCATTACGGTTACTACGAGCACTACGTGCACTATCACAATGGCGGGCAGGACGTCTATGACTATTACTTGTGTACTTGCCACTACTGTTTCTTGTACTTCTCCAGTTACGACCACTCCTACAATTATGATTACTTTTATAGTCAGTTGACTTTTGCCGGTGGTGGAATTTGAACAACCGGCAGATTTTAGATCCAACGTCTCGTTCCCAAACCTTTTGCATAACTAGTTATTTTGGCTTCATTGGCGCGTTTTCATAGCGCGCCATAGCGTCGGTACCAGCAAAGAAGCACAACCGCGAGGCAGTCAGGAATAGTCGGGCCCTGGCGGGCGAGGTCGGGGTCGAAGTTGGCAGTCGCAAAGCGGAGTGTGGATCAAAGGATCCGCGGGGCGGGGCCGGCCCGGGTTGTTTTTCCGGCAGCTTTTGAACACGCGCCGATTTTGACACGCATCGCGCTTCCCAATTCTCTGGACTGGATCAAACTGGAGAGGGCTTCTCCTACAGTTAGCAGCCGATGCAAACGTTCCGACGCCGAGAACGACGGGGACGGCGACGACCGAGGACAACTGACGTCGACGATGACGACGACGACGACCGTCGGACCGACTGAGGACGACGGCCGACGAACGACGATAAGCGACAGCGACAAACCACGGCGACGGCCGATTAACATCGACGACGACGTCTAGGGGATTGCGTCGGGGTCCGTCGTTGGGCGCTGGGGAGGGTCCATTCGGGGGCGCACTCTGGCAGTTCATCCGGGTTCATTCCGGTTTGTTCGGACCCAGCGGATGGCCCCAAAGCCATGGTATAGTTTTGTTCAAATCGGGCTTGCCAATGGGTTTCCTACATGGTTGAAGGCTGGCGCCTTTTATTGATACTTGGCCCGTTCCTTGTTGTATTCCCCTGGCTCCTCGAGACCCCGGGTTCCCCGCCCCAGGTGCTTCGTTTTCTTACGTTGTCCGTTCCCCAGGGGTATTCCGGCTTCTCCGGTTCCCTCGCCCCCGGTGCCTCATGTTAAGCCCCGACAGGAAGACAGCGCGCGCGCCGAAAGGGGGCCCCTCGCGGGGGGATCGCCTCACAGGGAAACAACGTTGGGTCGGGCATGTCCTCCTACAGGTGGATCTTGGAAGGCAAATGAGAGAATCAATCATGGTCCAGAAATCACGAAACATCGTCAATCCGACGGCGGTTATCTCATGCGCGTCGGCTCAAGACCTCAGACCGTCGCTTTGGGCCCAAGAGGAGAAAGAGCATTTCGCCCTGGGAATATAGACGGGCGCACCTCGTCAAATGTTCACCAGCGAATTCGTCCAGAACTCTTTTGAAAAAAAGGCCCACGATAACTTATTGCTAGTGAGGGGGGGGTCTGTCACCGCCTGGTCTCGTTGAGCTAGCTTCCTTGCTGTAGAACTATACAATTCCAGTGACATCCACGCGATGCCAAAGTGGATCCTTGATAATTCCGCTGGGAGCTAGAATTAATCCCACCGGATTATTGAGCGGTCTTCTGCCACCGCTGCGATAGGAGCTGCGACAGGCAGATGCCGACGCGTTGATGGGGTAATGCTGCGCGTCGGAGGTTACGTCCCCATGGTGTGCGCGCAACCCCAGAGACTCTGCGTCGAAGGGCACGGCGACGCCGCTCCGCCGCATCACGAAGGCGAGCGCCCATATCAAAGTTGAACAAAGCAGGGTATACAAAAACACACGCATTACACTCAATAGATATATGGGTTTCCTCGGAGGTGGCGCAGCTTAATGTGCATTTGCTTCCCGTGAATAATCAAGTGGAACACCACTGGGAATCATGTGGAATCAATCGGGATCAGCCGGAATCAATGCAAACCAACCAGGCTGATTTTGGAACCGAGTTGTTTCAATAGGAATCGTTCGGAATCGGCAGAGTCAATCGCAAGAATTAGGAATCAAGTCGAACCAGTAGAAAGCAATCAACATACATCACAACCGAACGGGGCCACTGGGAGAGATCCGGGATCATTGGGGACCAGAAGAGGATCAGTTGGAATCAATTTGCTTCAATTGGGGTCAATGAGTATGTACCCAATGGAACCATTGTTCTTTGACTGCAACCACTCGGAAGCAGTAGAAATGGATCGGGATTTAGAGGAATCACCCAAAAATGATTTGGGATTGGTTGGAACTAATGTGATTCAGTACGGTCCAGTGGGGACCTTTCGGCGTATGCTGATATCGGCAATACATCAGTGCAAGTCTCGGAAAGCATTCGGGCTTGGGGTCACATGGGAGCGAAGGAGTAATCATAATCATTGAATATCATTGCGAATCAATTGGGATCAGTAGAAATTGATAGGAACAAGACAGAATCGGGTGCAACAAAATGGAACCAACGAGCACCAATCAGAAGTATCAGGAATCAGCCGGAACCTAGTTGGATCAGGCGGAATCGTTACGGGTCAACAGGGATAAGATGTACCAATGCGTACCATTGGGAACCAAGACGAACACATTGGGACCAATAAGAAGCACGATTGCAACAACGTCGTAACCCAAATCAGTAGGAAACGATATGACTCAGTATGAATTTGCCGAATCATTCTGGTTCTTTCGGAAACAGTGAGCCTTGATTGGGATCGATCGGATTTGTTCGGAATCGTGCGGAAGTAGCAAGGATCAATACGAGTCACTTGGGGTCGATCGGACCGATCGGAGATCATAGGCACCAAGAAGACTGGTGAACAGTAGGAAGCAACAGGAATCAATGATACTCTTGCTACTCATTGCGTTCTGGTTCTTTTCAGTCAGGCGCACGCATCTATGCCGAATCCGACCCCGCACCTTGCCGTTGCCCACGTACACTTTACTGCGTGGTTGGAGGATGCTCGACCATAATGCTATTCGAATATTCTTACGGCTACTACGGCTACCATTTTGAAATTATTATTGCTACTATTACCACGGCGACGACTATTTCTGCCACCGCAATGATGGCCACGACCGTCACTACTACCGGCGACTAGCAACAACAACGATCCATGGCGACGGCCGATTGCCAACGACGACGACGTCTGGGGGTCTGAGTCGGGGTCCGTCCGGGGCGCAGGGGAGGGAGGGTTCAGTCGGGGGTGCATTCTGGTGCATTCGGGGGTTCCTCCGCGGTTCTTTCGGGCTCATTCGGGTCAATTCGGCCCCAGCGGGTGCCCTCAAAAACATAGGTGTTTGCAGGATTCGGCGCCCAAGGCGGCGCATTTGCCAGCAACCGCTTCTCCTTAATACTTCACTGAAAGCACATGCCCCGTCTCCAGGGGGGGGCGGGTGGAGAGGGGGCGGGGGGTCCGCGTTCTCGAAGCGCTTCTTTCTAGAATTGTACTTGGCCCGCGCGTTATAGAATTTGGCCTCGCCCGGTCGCGGTCGGCCTTCTCGATTTGGCCTTCCACAATTTCGGGACGGCGTTCGTGGTTGTCGTCGGTCGTCGACGGTTGTTTGGAATCACTCCGAAGCAGCAGGAATCAATAGGAGTCGCTCGGAATCCGTAGAATAGTAGGCACCAAGAAGAATCAGTCGGAAGCAATAGGAAATATAAGGAACAATGGCAATATCAAGAGTCATGATGATTTGTATCGTTCGTATTGTTCTGTTGGCGCCGAGTTCGGTGCCGACCCCGAGCCCGAACCTTATTTCTATTCACTTACATTGTACCGCGTGATTAGAGGACGCTCGACCGCACTACTAACATGATTACGACAATAGCTACGGTTACTAATACTTTTCGTAGTATCATGATAATTGCTACTATTACCACGATGGCGACAAGAACTACCACTACGAGGACGCCACGACTGTTACTACTCGCACTGCCATATTCTTAATCTGTTTATTCCGAGCACCTTTCATCTTGCGAGTACCATTGAAATCGCGAGTACGAATGCCATTGATGGCATTGCTTTGGTTACTAGCGGTTCGCAAAGGACAAATCAGTTAATCTGCGCCCACGCCACCTTATACATTCCTCAGTGTGGATGTTTCTGAAACCGAATGGTCACACTTACGTCTACCATTTCGGTTTTGACAAATTTGCGGGACGACCCCGTCTGAAACCTTCGCAAAAAGGAGGGACGGCGAACCGATGCATTTTCCCGGGCCGCCGGGGAATGTACCAGGTTGCCAGCGCATGTGTCATTTCGCCGGGCAGAGTATGGCAATCATCGTACATCCCCGAGCTGCGCCCCAAACGTGTGGTCCATTCGAAAACCCACGAAGATATACTTCTCCCTATCGGGATAGGAGGAGGAGGAGGGGGAGGAGGAGGAGGAGGAGGAGGAGGACGAGGAGGGGGAAGGATAGGGTTCGACTTATCGCTTGTTCCAGAGGGCGCGCCGCAGGCGCGAGCGGCTGCCCTGCGGGCAACGACGCGGCGCCGCGAGCCCCCGCAGGCATCAAGCGTAAGCCCATCGCCCTCCTCAAGAAGCTGCGGAAGGCGAAGCGCGAGACCGCCTACGGCGAGAAGCCGGAGGCACGAGTGTCCATCCTCCTGTCGTGAGGTCATTCCGCTCTTCGGCCACCCTCCTTCCCTCGTCCACCGCTTGCCTCCTTCTTTCACCACCCACCAAACCACCCCGACCCAACCCACAGGCCTCAATCTGCCTTCCATGTCCAGTGGGTGGGGTGGCGGGGAATGTGGAAAAAAACGCACATGAAACCCGTACACCCCCAAACCCGAAATTCGGATCTTCGGGTTGGGTTAGGGTGGTCTGGTAGGTAGTCATTATTCGGCGCCTCCGAAATTTTCACTGCCTCTTCCTCGCCTTCACTCTCTCCTCGCACTCGGAATTGTTGCTCCCCGCCCTTCGTGCGAGTGTACAGCTTCGTTAGTCTTCTCAGCTTACATCCACAGGCTTTCCACATCATCGGAATTTCAGGGGGGGGCTGGCAGATGGGAAGACGAGTAGGGCCTGGGGGAGGCCGACGGAGGGGAGAAACAGGAAGAGAGGTACGTAAGCAGAGGAGGGCGGCGGACGTGGACGATTCGGAGCGTGGGAAGGTCATCGCTCGCTCTCTTCCAATCCCCTCCCCCCTACGCCTCGTCCGGTATCACCCTTCCTCTCCCCTATTTTCCTCCCACGTCCTCATCCTCCTTCACGCTTCCTTCCTCGCCCTCCCTCCATCCCTTCTCCTTGGGGGGGGCGGGGAGCATCGAGCGGGGAGCCTGCATACACTTGCCAGAGAGGCCGTAAAGACCCACCTGCGCAACATGGTGATTGTGCCCGAGATGATCGGACCGCGCCCGGTCCGGCCATCGTGCTCTTTACACCCTGCTCCTGTCGCAGGGTGGGAGTCGGATAGGATATGAGAGAAGAGGGGAGAGTGGCGATGGAGGACTGATGGTGGTGAGAGGAAAGGGATGATGATGATGCTGACGATGACGATGACGATGACGACGATGATGGCGGTTATGGTTGCGATGATGTTGATGTTCTTAGTAACGATGAAGATGACGATGGACGATGGCCCTGCTGGCAATGATGATAAAGATGACGATGACGTTTCGGACGATGATCATGATCATGACCATGGTGATGATGATGCTGAGGGAGTTCCCGATGAGTATGATGGTCATGATAACGCTGATGGTGATCGTGATGATGAGGACGGTAAAGATGTTGATGTTGATGATGCTGATGCTGATGCTGGTGAGGATCAGCATGGTGATGGGAGTGAGGAGTGTGATAATGAGAGGGGGAGGAGAGGGAGAGGGAGGCAGGGAGGGAAGACAGAAGGAAGAGGTAATGATCTATAGGAGTGATGATTCAGGCATAGGAGGAGGATGAGGAGGAGAAGGAGGCGGAAGGGGAAGAGGGAGGATGAAAGAGACAGGAGGGAGGAGGGCGGGGGCATTTAGGGAGGCAGAAGGACGAGGACAAGGGAGGATGAGGGTAGTTAGAGGGGTGGCCAGTGCCTACTGGGCCTACTGCGCGCTCGACATGGGAGCTCAAGCTCTCGTCTCACGCAGGTCGGACAGCTCGGGACGATGTCTCTGTATGGCTCTTCTCTCCGCGGACCCGATCAGGCCAGCCCCGGCCCCAGGGATGCTCCGGCGCGGAGCCAGGGCCCATCTCGGTCCGATCTGGCTTCGGCTCCGTGCCAGTGCGGCCCGATCTGGTGCACATGCCGCTTCGAGCACGCTTCCCGAGTCGGTACTTCTTGGTGCTGTAAGAGGTGGGGGTGGAGGTACGGGGCCCCAAAATATACACCACCACCACCACCCTCACCCCCTTCCTCTCCCAGAACAGAAGAGAGGGAGAGGAGGGTAGAGGAGGGAGGGGGAATCAACGTGGTGGTGGTGTATATTCTCGTTCTCGGGCCCGGCAGGAGGACCCCTGCTGATGCAGACCGATCTGACGCACAGTCCGATTTCGTCGGACTCCCCGATCCGATGCCGTGGATCTTGTGCGAAGTGCAAGCTGAGGACTCCGGCTGATGCAGGCCGATCTGACGCACATTCCGATTCGATCGGACTTCCCGATTCGATGCCACCTGATCCTGTGGAACGTGTAGTTTGAGGGACCCAGGCTCGGCGACACCCCAACATACGAGTACTGCTACTAGTGCGACTGCTACTACTGTTACGACTGCTACTACTACTACTATTATTACTATTACTACTACCACGACTGCTACTACCACCACCACCACCACCGCCACCACTACTACTACTACTACTACTACTACTACTACTACTACTACTACTACTACTACTACGACTATTACTACTACTATTACTCCGATTGCTACTACCACTACTACTACTACTACTACTACTACTACTACTACTACTATTACTACTACTACTACTACTACTACTACTACTACTACTACTACTACTACCACTACTACTACTGCAACTACTACTACTACTACTATGTCTACTTCTAC